ATAGCTCTGTTAATAGTTTTCTAAATTTCTATGTTTATCTTTTGCAACAAACTAAAGTTTGCATCCAGTTTATTGGGAGTATGAATATCTGAAAAAAAAAGTGTTCTGAAATCTAAGTGTGCTTACAGAAAATTCCTAAGGGATTTGTCCCCCCCTCGTTTTTTTCAACAGAACAAAACCGATTGCGGATTACTAATAGTGGACTTGTTTTAAAGGCTAAACCATGAGGGTAAAGCTTCTCTTTGACTCGATTCTATGAGCTGAAACACAAGAGAAACCAGAGAAGAAAAGAAAGAAAAACAGAACGTGYGAAGATCTGTCACTCATCAAAAAGGAAAAAAAAGGTAAGATATTGAATTTTTCATGATGCTGTTTATTTCATAATAAACAGTTTCATTTTGTTCTTTTTTTTCCACCAGTGAATTAATGAATGCTTTTTCTTTCATGGTTTTTGTAAGCTTCATTTTGTTAGTGTTTGGTTTGTAAAAATCATCTGTCAAAGGTTTTTGAACCCATTTTTTTACAGTTCCAAAGAACATTTAAAAATGTTGTGAATGAAAACCAACTAATTAAAGCTGAATTACTCTGAATTATTACATGTCTCCCTCCAAGTCCTCTGTTAAATCTGTAGGTTGCTGCCATGTCAGCTTTTGGTTTGCATTTTGTGACTAAATCTTCAGTTTAGTCAAACCTCCTTGCCTTTTGTCTACACTTTTGGTCCTACCTTCAAGCTATTAACCACCACTCAACATGATAATACTCTCATAAACCTGAACGTTGATGTGAGCAAACCTTTATCATTTCTGAAAATCTTTTATTTTTATTCTTTTTTTTAAATTTGTCAACAAGCTCAACAATTGAAGGCACTCCTCAAGATGTGTAAACTTTTTTTACAAGCAAATACAAATATTTTTATTCAGAAATGTTAATACGTTTTTCACCTATGCCAGCTGTTTATTATTTTTTTATAAGTTTGCAATCATTTCGATATCAGTAGGGGCAGCTTTTTGTTGTTTGTGTTACTCACTAACAAGCCAGCAARCTAATTAGTTTCTAGCAGTGCACTAAGCAGCTCCATCATGGGTATTAAAATTTAACCTTAAAATAACGTAATCCTCCTTGGGTTTCACTACATCACAAATGACTTTTTTTTCCATCCTTAAGAGTATTATCCAAAGATGCCTCATGTGCCCACAGCAGCCAAATCAGTTCTGCTTTACAAAGCCCCTGTTTTGCTCCGAGTTTTAGTGAACAAAGTCATTGTGTTTAGTAGCTGTCAATGTTTAACAGAGCGCCACATTGTCTGAAAGAAACACCACAATATCAGGAAATCAGATAAGGATTTGGTTAAGGGGCGCATTTATATATCTATTTTATTCATTTATTTTCCTCGTTTAATTTTTTTTCAGACTATTATTCCAGCAAGCAGAAGGCCAAAAACACACATCCAAAGCCAAGATGGATATACAGGTTATATACGATATTTTAGGGTAAGAAATGCAAATGGTATTATTTTTTGTGTTCGTTTAGGCTTTGACAAATCGGAACAAATTATAAAATCTCACTTGCTTTTTTATTTATTTATTTTTTTCACAGAGAAAATGCCTGGTACTATATCACTGCCGCCTTCCTGGTGTTGTGGATTCTTGTGTGGCTGTACAGAGACAGGCTGGAGATCGAGGGCATCTCTGATAAGTACGTCTTCGTGACTGGTTGCGACACGGGCTTTGGGAACCTTCTGTGTAAAARACTCGACCGTAGAGGTTTTCGAGTGTTGGCCGGCTGTCTCACGGAGAAGGGGGCTGACGATCTGAAGAGAGCGGCGAGTTCACGTTTGAAAACCGTCCTGCTGGACGTGACCAATCAGGACAGCATTCAGAATGCCATGGAGTGGACCAAGAAGGAGGTTGGTGATAAAGGTAAGGACACGAGTTGCGCTTTTTAAAACGCAAAACAAACCAATCAATTCTATCGAACGAGGCAAATGACTCATCTTCAATATGTTTTACAGGACTTTGGGGTATCGTGAACAACGCTGGCCGCTCACTACCCATGGGTCCTTCTGAGTGGATGAAAGTGGAAGATTTCCACAGCACCCTGAAAGTGAACATGGGTGGAGTGATTGCCATGACAATGACCTTCCTGCCTCTCATCAAAAAGGCTCATGGACGAATTGTAAACGTAGCATCTGTGCTGGGAAGAGTGGCTGCAAACGGTGGTGGATACTGCATCTCTAAGTTTGCAGTAGAGTCTTTCTCGGACTGCCTCAGGTAAGACGCACTTGGATTATCCTGAAGGTTGTTACCAACAATACCTTAACCCATGAAGTCTTGTTCTCCATCCAGTTAGTATTTTGTTTTAAGATCTGCCCTATGTATGACAGTTAAAGAAATATTTGCGGAAATTGTCAGATTGTGATCGTTCCTTTCTGCTTTCGAAAAAAAGATTATAATTGAAATACCAAAGCCAAGCATGTACTTGCTATTTTTGTTAGACAAAAATAAGTTAAGTGTCTAAAGGCAACAAGCCTTTTTCACATCAAGATGATCATGGAAAATGGGTGTGTTTAGTGTTACACACAGTTTCATCGTTTATCATTGACATTGCACTTGAAGATGATCTGTAATGAACTGAATGGTGGTGGATGTTCTGTAATGTTTTTTTCCCCACGAGCTTGAATCAATTGCACGACACATCTATCCTGATTAAAGAGTTATCTCAAGATGATGAGACAAAATACTGCTTGTCTCATGATATTATCATATTGCAGTCTGCATAGTTTAATCCCTTCGATTTGCTACTTTAAAGGATCTTGTATGGGGTTTGTGTCTGCTTGTTTACCGTGTTTGTAGTGTTTACAAGGTCAAATTTGCAAGCCTTCTAAAAAGTTGACTTGGTACGTGAAACTGTGTAATTCTTTGTTGAATGCAGAAAATATGAGAACATAAAGCACTAATCTTAACTGCTTCTTTATTTCCAGGAGGGATATACATTACTTTGGAATCAAAGTGTGCATCATTGAGCCGGGCTTTTTTAAGACAGCTGTGACTAATCTTGAAACTCTAGAGAGGGAGCTGCATCGTCTGTGGAATCAGCTCAGCCCCGAAGTAAAAGCCAGCTATGGAGACAAGTACCTGGATAAATGTAAATAGAAATCTAAATATTGTTTCTGTAGATGTTTTTTGTGTGTGTGATTTGCATTTAAAATTAATTTGTCAAGTAACAACTAGGTAATTTTTGTTTGTAAGGTTATAGTGATATTATCTGAACATCAATAATGAAGCAGTTGATAAT